ATACTATATATATATATATATATATATATATATATATATATATATATATTTATTTATTTATTTGTAAAACCACAATATGAAGACATGTATTACATTTACTTAATCTATTTTTATTTACATTATTGTCGTATTGGCAGAGTATATGTTAGTATCGGTGTGAAATTTTTGCCATGTTTCTGAGATGTCCTTATCTCAATTTGATAACATTGCTCTCATAGATTACCATAAATTCATGGTTAGTGTGACTCATATACATTTTTGTCAACTGATTGACACCTCACTTTATTGTTTATTTTTCAGAAAAAAATCTCACACCAAAAGTGATACAATATAATATAAGGATGAAAAGAAAAATACATAAAGAAGTAAGTTACATAACTATATTTTCTTTTCAATCATTAATCATTTTAAAATTACTTTGCAGAAGAATGTGACAAACAACAAATTGACGACTTGACTGCACATTGCGAGATTTTTCCATGGTGCTGAAAGTTTCAATAATACTACTCTCTGGTTTTTTCTTTCCCTTTTGTTCTTTCACAACGACTATCTTCATAGGGTGATTCTAGTCAAAAACGAATATGCAATCTGCTTTTCCCCAACAAAGTGTGCAAGCCAATTAATGACACACTATTGTCTTAGCCAATAAGCTCGTAAAGCTAGCATGCAAGTATTTTAATAAGCAACTGCACTGCACAATTTTGCACCTCAACTATCTACAAGGACTTACCTCTCACGGTGCAAAATTTTTCACCCCATCTACCAAAAAATATATTATTATTTTATTTTAAACTCTCTTTTATTAACCTCCAATAACATGACGCCAGAGTGACCATATCCTAGCATCATTGAAAAGGAAGTATCTATACTGTTATATTTTCCCACAATTTTAATCTTCGTTTGTGATCAATGTTGCTTTCAACTACTTTTTTTTGGCTAATAATTTTGACGCAATTTCACAAGAAAACAGATATGGACTTCTTAATTCAGACGCGTGGAAGATCATAATTGGTCTGTCATTGGTCATGACTCGAGCTCAAAATCATGAATTAATTTTGCTTGAAAAGAAAAGCAAGTCAAAGTCAGAGTAGGTTTATATATATTGGAGGAGGGAGGGGTATGCATAAATTAAGAAACATGGAACGTGCATGTTCTATTGAAAGTTTGAACCCCTTCCCCAACGACCCATTTGAATTTTCACATATGTTAATTTCTAAATCTTAGAAGATTTCTTGTAACATAGATTGCTTAGCTGAGTTCAACCAATATATGAAGGTAGCTTTCAGGCTTTAATCTGATAAACTTGACATTGAACCGAAACTGATAGTGAATGGAAGAGGGGTCGCTTCTCTTCTCATGGGACTAGTGATCTGATTTTGAAGGCCCAGATCATTATTAAGCCACACAAAATAAAGTTAGTTAGGTTCGTGACATGAGAAAAATCATTATTGAGCGGACTAACTTGGCAACAATAATTGCATAAGTTAGGTAACAATTTTAGGACCACTTTAATTTGTTAGTGACCAAAGCCTGATAATCTCACATTCATTTTTGGATCAAAATAGTGTTTACTTGGTAAGACTATTACTTGCTGCAAGTAAAAATTATAACATAGAAGGAAACATAATTTAAGGTGGCATCAGACTACATGTTTTTTTTTTTTTACAATGAGAATAATACATGTTTAGAAAATTATAAAATAAATGTGACAATTTTTTTTTTTTTTTACAGTGATGATACTGAAATTTTTTATTAAAATTTTATATAAACTATTTAGACCAACTTTAGTAGATATGTTCATGAATTGAGATTCTTTTTTAAACTAAAATTAATTTATGGGTAATTTAAAATGAGTTTCTGGCTAAGATAAATGATTTTTTTTTATAAATTATTTTATATATAAACCAATTTAAATTTATAGGTGAAGTATAATTGATATTTTTCTTATTTAATTTTTATAAATATTTATTGAAAAGATTATTCAAAGATGGTCATAGTTTCTTTTTTTCCCAGTACCAAAAACAAAAACATGGTCATAGTTTAAGTTGTTAGTCATTAATATAATATCAAAGCCTTTGATAAAGAATATAACTATGGTTAATCATAGTGAAAGCATACAATATTGTGTATTGCCTAATTTTACCCACAATGTTGGATATGAAAATCCTAGAGTTAGAGGAGGAATTTACTTAATCACCTCGAGTTGTGTTAACATATAAAATCATTACTTAACAGCATGAGATTTTAGGTTAATTGGTAATTGGCAAAAGACAAATCTTAGGCATGTTGTTACAATAAAATCTGTATCCAGATGTGTTCTGTTTCAAGGTGAAAACAGGCACATGATAGAAGGAGCATGCATAAGAATAAAGTCTGTTTGCTTATAGCAGCATTGTGATAGGAGAGTTTGGTTTTCTTTGTTCAGGAATCAGGACCATTTGGTCGAAGAAGTAATTGAGCATTGTACTTGTAAGTGATAAAAACTGTAAGTTCATTTTACTTATAGGTCCACATACAAGCCAGAAAGGCTGTAAAGTTACATTTATCCCAAACATGGGGTAGCTTGTCTGCTAGGTGCATTGCAATTACGAAGACCACACAAATGGTATGTCGGAATAATGTTTAGGAGTCACGAGCTAGACCAGATTAGCATTGGCATCAGAAAATTTATGACATGAACATTAAGATATGCAACATTTCTTCTTTTATGCAAATAGATTTGGTAACGGGGGATACGTCTCCATTTTCTTTCATGGCAGACTATTCAAGGCTTATCAAGGGAGAGTTTTTTCTTTTATATTTTGTCACTAGAATTTCCATCTCCTTATGTTAGAGATTAATACTGTTTGTAATATTGTGACAGTAATTGACACAGAAATTGATTAGAGTTTAATACTTACTTTTGAAGATTATTGCTATTTAAATTCAATTTTGGTACTAAAAATTATAAAAATAATTATATTATCAATAGTTTATGGGTGTTTCTTATAAAATTTAGGTTTGAGTCACATTCAATTTATTAAATTAACTTCTCATATAAGATTACTTTATTTTATATATCACTTTAATTTTATCATTCATCAATGCGGGATTTCCAATATTTTTTTATGTTAGATACTAAGTATTTTGAATATAAAATTTGTATAATTAAGCAATTACAAATAATTTAATGATGATCCAATAGTTGATTGTAATTCTAATTAAGAATATGAGTTTGATTATAACTCAATCTCACAAAATCAATTTATAAAATGAGACTTAACACTACTTATATACATTTATTTTAATTAAGCATAAAAAATGTAAATTATTTTAACTATACCAAATGTCTTTAATGTTACTTATTTTAACAAATTTCACAACGTTTCACCTGCAAATGAAAAATTATAATTACTAATTTAATAATGATGCATTGTTTTTCATTTATCAATAGTATAAAAAAATAATAAATAATAGAGTTCAATTCTTTACAACAAATTTTATATGATTAATTAATTAGAAATCATAACAAGTATGACTCTATATTAAGGTTGAGAAAATTATTATATAAAATAAATTATGATTGATGATATAAATAATGAGTTATGAGATATTTAATTACAAACTAATATATATATATATATATATATATATATATATATGAGGAGGGTTATATTTACACCGGTGTATCTTTTATATATATTATATTGCTTAATAA